TTCATCAAAATAGGTTTCTTCAGGAAGATAATACACTGGAACCACTAAGCCTTGGCTTTTCATATATATATATATATATATATATATATATATATATATATATATATATATATATATATATATATATATATATATATATATATATATATATATATATATATATATATATATTGCTTGCTAAATCGTGAGCATGGAGGACACTATCTTTACCTTCTTTATTTTACATAAGTTTAGGGGTCTTATATTTATAGTCAACAGCAGCAACATCAAATAATAAAAAAGGTCGAAGGTCATTGAGAGTCATGGCTTCTGTCCTGAGAGTGCATTTCATTATTTGTAAACATCCATCATCTCTCTCTCTTGATGTCATGTTACAAAATGTGTGTCTATCAAAACAGCAGGTGTTATATTTATGATAAGCGACAGCACAATTACAATATAAAGTGTAAAAGAAAAAGTGTTCACCCTAGTTGACTCAACGGCGAAGTTAGTCCAATGTCTGCCGGTTAAATATACAGAGAGTAAAGGACATAATCTGCATTCCACAATGCGGCTCAGGCAATTGAATGAATAAAAATTCTGAAGTTTGTAAATGATAAACAAATAAAAGAAAAAGAAAAATAACCAAATCACTATCAAGATTACCTTTCATGTGCTCTATCAAGTCCTTTAGGTTGATAATTTAAAGTTGCAACATTTACTAACGTGTTAATAATGCATATAATAAAATATTCCATGTGGTCGAGTGTTCTGTTCGACATACTATCCGCCTTGTGCTAAAAATGGAGATAAAACCCACGAAATAAACAATAATACAAAATACGTTCCTTGCGTAAACTTGTTATATGACAGTTTGCTAAACGATAAGTTCCGAAAACAGTTAATTTGTAGACCTATAAGAAGTAAACGTTCTGTTGCTAAGTAGTTGAGTTTTACTAATTTATCACTCTAGTGTTCTGCTGTAATGGGTCCTAAAGGAGCTAAAACATTTCGCCGACTTCCGGAGCCGCTGCCTTATAAAGTTAATTATCGCGCCATAGTTCCACGGAGACTTGCTTGGCGTTTGACTCAGATATATACAGTTTCTGATTGAATTTGGCAAGCCTACAAACTTAGTTTCCTTAACTGGTACTGGATTTTTGAACATTTTAAAGTTCAAAATTGCCACAAATACATACCTTTCTCTTTGAGACATTATCTGTATAAAATAATAAATGTCCCTGGTGAAAAAAATTAAAGCTTTTAAATTGAATATCATAGATAATTTCTCAGAAGTATTTGTTTTATTAAGACTCAAAACGTTTCTGAAGGAAAAATGATGAAGGTAAAGGTCTTATTTATTCGACATCTGAACATTTCACTGAGATACAAACGTGAATTCAATCTAGTACGACTTTATTTTCTATACAGGCTTCTCTTTGACTTTATTTATCTTCATTGAAGCTGAGTAGTAGCCACAAAACAAACTAAACTTTTTCAGTGCTAATAATTAAGAAACCCATTTAGAACATTTTGTTGTTGATTAAAACAGGTAATGTGTCCGCAACAATATATAGCAAATTATGCAATAAAAGTATTTCGCAGAAAGTACATTCGCCCAAAGAATATATGGCAAAATGTACAAAGTATATAAACCTGATAAATCAAGCTTTATTCATATTTGTAAAAATTGCCATACGTCGATTATGAATAAAAAGATTACTATTAAATATTTAGATTTCCTCAGTTTTTGTCTTTTGCCGGACGCATAGATTTTGTAGACAAGATTATGCATGAATGAAACCCAAGTTGCCTTCATGTACAACTCTTTGGATTGTAAATGTTCCAACGTGAAATAAAATTAGCCGTGTTTTTAATTTCAGATGGATTTAAAAATAAAACGTCAACATCATTTTCGTGTTATCAAAGATTATCGCTTTCTTGAAAGCTTTTGATGGTTGTATTACTTAGACTGGAAGATCACGTTTCTTGATGTTAGAAGATCGGGAAGCATAGGTCTGCATTCGCCAGGCATCCATAAATATAAAAGCAGAACCGCCTGGGAATCGAAGGAAAACGGTAACTATTTTCTTCTTCTGGAGATTTATTACTCTGCCGGTACAGCCGTCAATGTATGTATGTAATTGACGTATCCATTAGTCCCAAGAGCGAAGCCTGTGCAAAAAGTTCATAAATAGCAAGTTGAAGCCTCTTATTGACGCCCTTTGCAGAGGTGTGCACAACCAGTGCTCGTCAATCAGCCTTTTTTCTGAAAAATGATAGGATATATTCACAGTGCTATCTGATGGTAATGGTATTCTTATCAGCAAATTTACCAAATCAAAAGAAGCAGTTGAAAGCGTGGCATATGCAGTGTTGAGGACAGGAAGCAGTCCAAAACTGCTCAAACATCATAATTTAAAAAGCCCGTATAATTGGGCTCGTTAAACATTTCCAGCCATTCAAAAACTTCACACGATTTAGAGGTCTGCCTTCATTAATAGAGGAGACAGTTAGAATGTCAAGATGTGACCAGATATTGGTAGTTACTTCCCAATTCATGAGATCAGGGGTGACTTGTGGCTGACAGACTGACCC